AAAGAGGAGAGAACTGTGGATCCATCATCTGCTGTCCCTCACCTCATTTCCCTGCCTGCTAGTCCTCATTAGCTTCCTGCTGGCTCTTCCTTCACTCTCCTTTCTCCAAGGGGGTCCTACCTGGGCAGCCAGAGGGAATGCCTAAAAGGAGAATGCAATGCCACTACTTATTAAAAATGCTCTGATGGCATTCTCATGTATTCTTAGAATGAACAAGAAGTACTTAGTGTGGCCTTAGATCCTATGCGTTGGGCTCCCCAGCTCCTGCACCATCGGGGACCGTTGCGCCCAAAATGCTTTGCTGCTGGGGGTTTTACCTCCGATGCCTCTGCCAGAGCTGTTTCCTGCTGCTTGTGTACGTTTCCAATACCTATCACAACCCTCTCTCGTACTACCCTGCTCACTCGTACCTACTTCCCTCCCTGTTCTGCTTATCTTTGTCCCCACACCTGTCGCTTTCTTTTACAGAACTTACACAATATGCAATTATGTATTATAAGTATACTGCATTATTATTTTTATTTTTCCTTTCTTGAGACAGAGTCCTCACCTTTTCTGCCAGGCTACAGGAGTGCGTGGCGGTCACCTAGCTCCACACCCCCCTCAAACTCCTGGGCTCCAGGGGTCCTGGCTTTCTGCCTCAGCCTCCTGAGTAGCGTGGGACTACAACTACACCACCGATGCCACCGAATTTGTTGTATATATGTGGCTTCAGTTGTCCAGCTAATTTCTATTGTTCTTGTTATAGTCAGACGGAAGTCTCACTCTCTGCTCAGGCTGGTCTTGAACTCCCTAAGCTCTGAGATTCATGCCAATACCTCAGCCTCCCAGAATGCCTGCGATACAGATGAGCCCACCGTGCCTGCCGTGCACTTATTTTTGTCTGTCTTTCCGTAGTCCACACTAAGGCTTATTTCCCCACAGGCCCGTGAGGGCCAGAGGCTTTCTATTTGCTTCATTTCTTGTTCCCAGACCTACAGGGCAGCTCCTGGAGTCTTAGCGGAAAGTTGGATTTAATAGGGAGCCCCTCATCACCTTCCCCACCCACCTTGGGAGGTCTAGACTCACTTGCCAAGGGCTCTGGATGCCATTCCACATCCCTGCCCTGCTTCTGCCCCAACTGTAGCATGTGCTTCTGGGAAGAGACAAGAGTCCCTTGCCCCAGGCCACCCTGGTCTGCAGGGAGAGGAGGCTCACCTCAACAACAGAGCTATGAAGTGTGACACTGGACTGCTCAGCACTGAATGGATGGCAAGGCTGCTTTGGGCTAGGCAAGGAGTAAGGCTGTGAGAAGGCGGGTCCAATGGCGGGGAGGATGGCAAACCGTGCCATCTGGGGATGGGCCATCTGTGGTAAGGACTAGGGGCCAGTGCTTTAGGCCTTTAGGCCTTAATACCAGTTTGAACTTCCATCCTGGACAACAGAGGCTTCAGCTAAGGTAAGTTTCAGTTTGTTGTTTTTTAAATAGTGGCATAAAAGTTCTGTTTGAAGAAACCCTGGCCAGAATTGTGGAAAATGGATCAGAGAATAGGATGTCATTTTTTTTAATTTTAGCATATTATGGGGGTTCAAATGTTTAGGTTACGTGTGTTACCTCCCCCCCACCCTCCACCCTGGAGTCAGAGCTTCAAGCCTGTCTATCCCCTAGATGGTGCGCGTCCCACTGATTATGTACGTATATACCCAAGGATTGGCATTTTTAAGCGCTTCCTAACCTAAGTGCTCTGTGATTAATAAGACTTAGCTTAGTTTTTGTTGTTGTTGTTGGTTTGAGACAGAGTCTCACTCTGTTGCCCAGGCTAGAGTGCTGTGGCGTCAGCCTAGCTCATAGCAACCTCAAAGTCCTGGGCTCAAGCAATCCTCCTGCCTCAGCCTCCCAAGTAGCTGGACTACAGGCATGCGCCCACATGCCCAGCTAAGTTTTTTAAATATATTTTTAGTTGTCCATCTAATTTCTTTCTATTTTTAGTAGAGACGGGGGTTTCATTCTTGCTCAGGCTGGTCTTGAACTCCTGACCTTGAGCAATCCTCCTGCCTTGGCCTCCCGGAGTGCTAGGATTATAGGCGTGAGCCACCAAGCCCAGTTAAGACTTAGTTTATTTAACTGTTATGACCATCCTGTGAGGTAGATGTTTACAATTGCTATTTTATAGATTAGAATTCTGAAGGTCAAGGTGACCCTCTTCATTGGAAAACTGCTCCTTCCCATCCCTTGGGATTCTGGAGGTATTGTCACAGTGCTCTATCTGTTTCTTGGCCGTGAGTGTGGCATGAGGTCTGGTCCTGGCTAGTGGTTTGACCCTTTGCCCTGCCAACAGCAGCTAGTCCAAGGGATGGTCATGTGATCCAAGTAGAACCAAACTGTCTTGGGATGTTGAAGATATGGACCCTGGGAGTGACTCTCTCTTCTTTTTGGATCTCAAGCTGTGACTATGTAAGCTTGGGGCATCAGGAGTCAATTTCCCTTGTGTTGGAGAAAACTTGTGTGTTTGAATGTGGCCAATGCACACAAGAAACAGAGATGAGCAGAATGTGTGGACAGGGTGAAGCTGATGACAAACTCTGGACCTAGCCACATCTGAAGATAGACCCAGCTAGAACTTCCTAGTTGTACTAGAAAGCCATTAAAGTACATCATTTTGTGTTTTTTTGTTTTTTTGTTTTTTTTTTTTGAGACAGAATCTCGCTTTATTGCCTAGCTTAGATGAGTGCCCTGGCGTTAGCCTAGCTCACAGCAACCTCAACTCCTGGCTCAAGCAATCCTTCTGCCTCAGTCCTCCCAGTAGCTGGACTAAAGGCATGCGCCACCGTGCCCGGCTAATTTTTTCTTATATATATGTTGGCCAATTAATTCTTTCTATTTATAGTAGAGACGGGGTCTCGCTCTTGCTCAGGCTGGTTCGAACTCCTGACGAGGATTGCTTGAGCCCAGGAGTTCCAGACCAGCCTGAGCAACATAGTGAGACCCCCATCTCTACAAAAAAAAATAGAAAAATTAGCTGTGGTGGCGCACACTTGTAGTCTCAGCTACTCGGGAGGCTGAGGCAGGAGAGGGAACACACGTAACCTAAACATTTGAACCCCCACAATATGCTAAAATTTAAAAAAAATGACAATCCTATTTCTCTGATCCATTTTCCACAATTCTGCCAGGGGGTTCTTCTAAAACAGAACTTTTATCACTCTTTAAAAAACAATAAAACCAAAACTTACCTTAGCTGAAGCCTCTCTTTTGTCCAGGATGAAGTCCAAACTGGTATTAGAGGCCCTAAAGGGGCCCTAAAGACATGGCCCCTAGTCCTTACCACAGATGGCCCACCCCAGATGGCACGGTTTGCCATCCTCCCCGCCCATTGGCACCCGGCCTTCTCCAAGCCTTAGCTCCTTGCCTAGCCCAAAGCAGCCTTTGCCTCCATTAGTGCTGACAGTCAGTGTCACACTTCATAGCCTCTGTGTTGCAGGTGAGCCTCCTCTCCCTGCAAGACCAGGGTGCCTGGGGCAAGGGCCTCTTGCTCCTCTTCCCAGAGAAGCCACATGCTACAGTTGAGGGCAGAAGGCCAGGGCCAGGGAGTGGGGAAATGGCATCCAGAGCCCTTGAGCAAGTGAGTCCCCTCCCCAAGTGTGGGGTGGGGAAGGTGAGGGGCTCCCTCATTTAATCATCCAACTATTCGCTAAGAGCCTCCCAGGAGCTGGGTACCCTGGTAGGTACTGGGAACACAGAAATGAAGCAAATAGACAAGCTCTCTGCCCTCACGGGGCCTGTGGGGGAAATAGACCTTTAGTGGGGAAATACAGAAAGACAGACAAAAAATAAGTGCACTGGCCAGGCACGGTGGCTCATGCCTGTAATCCCAGCATTCTGGGAGGCTGAGGTGGATTGGATGAATCTTCAGAGCTTAGGAATTCAAGACCAGCCTGAGCAAGAGTGAGACTCCGTCTCTACTAAAAGAAAATAGAAATTAG